CCTACAGGGAGTCTAAGGCCCTGTTCACACCTTTACGTTTTGTCGCGCGTTCAACGCTCTATGAACGCTCTACAAAACATACAAACTTGAAAATCCCATTGTTTTCTATGGGTATGGTTCACACCTTTCCGTATTTCAGCCCGTCTGAACACGCTACAGAACGGCCTACGCCTGAAAAGGTACATGTACTTCTTTAGGGCGTTTTGGTCTCGCGTTTCCATTGGGATACAGCTAAGTAGCCCTCGGAAACGCGCGACAAACACTCGAATCGCGGTAGAAACGCGCGACAAACGCGCATATTCAATACGCCTAGGTGTGAACCCAGCCTAAGATACACCATGACTGCAAGGACCACCAGGTAAAATGTTACCTCCTTCTGAAATAGCTGCATGCCTGGTTGTCATACGAAAAGTCTAGCTTTAATTCTCTGAATCAGTATAGAGAATAGGACTCATGGCTTTTCTTAACCGGCACACATTTGGGGCTGGTGACTACACAAGCTGCTCAGTCAATGTAACAGCCAATCAACTAGCATTTCTAGAAGGTGATTGACAAAGGCAGCCCTGGTATTTATCGCAGGTTCATGTTAAAGCTCCAACTTTTCATTGTTTTTTACATATTACTTTGCCTGTAATGTCAAAGAGTTTAACAAAAGAAACAAAACCTACCGCAAGTTAACCATTACAGCAATAACTTCAAGCTATAATTTCCATTTAAAATGTGTTCATCAGCTTTTTTAAGAATTATTAGGGAAGGTAACTTGAGTAATGTTGTCAAAAGGATAAATCTACTTCTAGAAAGTAATCCATCACAAGTTGCTCTGTGGCACTTTAAAAAAACTATACTATACAACAAAACAGATTGCAAAGCGCACCCACTCTCTGTGACACTTTCTTCAGTCAAACACACCCATAGCAGGGTCACCATTAGATCCACAAGCCAAAATACATGCCACTTCCCAGAGGCATTCTAACATTTGGCTCTTATCTCATACAAGCTTGGTCTGCATGCAGTAGTTAGTGTTCACATCTGCTCTACATTAGCAGTCTCCTGTTTTGTGGCTCTATTACAAGAATGAAAACATAGCAGCTGCAAGTTATTCCTGGAATAATAGATCTGTGTTTGAGTAGAACGGAGTCTTACTACAATGGTTTTCTTCAGTGAATTTCTAGGATGCGCTGGAATGTTTTTGACTAGAAATATTAATTCAATTCCACATTACATTTACATTTACTTAAGGTATATCAGTTTGTGTATGTATAAAAGTAAAAGTATATCCGTGTGAGGCTTTAGAAAATAAAACGTTTTGTTTTCAAAATCTCTTCAGTATATCATATATTGTTTTTGTTAGTAACACTGTACATGCAGTTCACAACAAAGAGGAATAAAGAAATAATCTGTACAGTTCTGCCCACTATTCTAAAATAAAAAATAAACCGTTTCATGTTAGGATCCGTGATGGGAGCGAGACCTGAAAATGCCCTCCATTTAAAGAAGGCTCTGCTATTGCTTGATACTACAGTAATTAAGTGGGAGCTTTTTGGTTTCTTTTATACAGTACATGTCTTTGAAACTGCATAGTACTGGTGAACCTGATCACATTAAAGTTATTTGTAAAGTCCATCATTATGCTTACAAGAGCAAAAGGATTATTTCCAAAAATGACAACAAAAAAAAGGGAAAAAATTAGGAAAAACCCTGATTAGGGTTAACAGGGAGTTTAACAGGACCATTTTAAAAAAATATATAATAACCCCCCCCCCCCTTTCAACACACTTGTGAGGTTGCTTTGGTATATGTAAAACCAAAACTATTTTCTGGAGTTAAAGCCCCTACCAGGTTATTATTTATCCTGCCTGCCTTCAGTGGTTCTCAACCATTCTAGGGCCGGGACCCCTTGGTAACATTTGCCAAGTTGTGGTGACCCCCAACCATAAAATTTAGGGATTTACCAATACTAGTATCTGTGGGCTCTCGGGAGGCTATGCGGGCTCTCAGGTGGCTAGTGGCACTCTTTGGTGCCCAGTGCGGGCTCTGTGGTGCCCAGTGTGGGCTCTCTGGTGCCCAAGCACTTACCTCCCCTCACTTCTGCCTGCTCCCCTCCCTCTGATCCTCTACAGTCGCTGATGCTGCAGCGCCATCTAAGAGAACTGACACTGCCATGCTAGGAGGAGGCTGAGGAGCCTCTTACCTAGAGCAGCACAAGGCACGTGGGGACCCCCTCAACTGTGGGTTGCGACCCACAGGTTGAGAACCACTGTACTAGGGAGATATCCATCCCTTTCCAGTTCTGGAAAAGCAACCAGATATAAAAACAAATCTCCTCAAAGTGAATATGATTGCAATCTTCAAGGAGTTGTCATTCCCATCACTTACTGTCATGGCAACAATGGTCACCAGGGCAAATAGAGGTATGAATCTCCCGAGCGGGGACACAATAAAAACTTGACAAGGGGGTCCGAAACCTTCCCTACTCTAAAAATAAATTAAGATTACATAGAGGAAGGCTTTTTTTTTTGCAGAAAAGACATACTCTTGTCTTCTGTAATAAAATAAGATTTTTGTACTCACCACAAAATCATTTTCTTTGAGTGCATTGAGGGACTTCAGGTTATATTGCCACCTACAGGAGAATTGTTTGTTATGGCAGCTGGGAGTTTGTTTACATTTCCCAAGCCGAATGTCAACTTTCTGCTGAAAATGATTCGGGTAGCTGTAAAGCCGTCCGCCCTGAGGGCACAGGATGTCCATGGAAGGTATCAGTGGGGAGAGCAGTGGGACTGTGTCCCTGGGTAAAATGAAACCTAAAGTGATGAACTGTACATTACTTCCTGTTTCAGACTGGTAATTCCCCAACCTCTGTGGATGGGGAAAAAGCCAACGGAGCATAGCTCCAAAGTAGGGCTGTGAAAATTAAAGACTAATTTCTCGATTAATCGTTTTTTTTTTTTTTTTAAATAATAAAGTTTTATTGTTTTTATCTCAAAGTCAAGACATACACAACATACAGGCATATGCGTGAACAGGATCACGTTTGACAAATTTGTATCACAGGGAGGTAATAGAGCCATCAGGTTTTGCATGTGGGAACATACTTCCCATAACTTCCAAGTAACGATGTGAACCGTATTAGGTTGAGAGGTAGTTTTCGTTATCGATCATAATAATTTTAATCGGTCAAAAAGTTTCTCATTTCTCCGCTGGCTTCCGGGAGTCACGTCGGCGATCCAGTGACATCACGGACATCGACGTCACCGGACTCCTCCCCCCTTCCCCAAGTGGCTCCGTCGGCTAACGAAGGGAAGGGAGGAGGAGTCCGGTGATGTCGATGTCCGTGACGGCTAACAAAGCGAAGGGGGAGGAGTCCGGTGACGTCAATGTCCTTGACGTCACCAGACTCCACCCCCCTTCGTTAGCCGACTGAGCCACTTGGGCCGGTAAGTTTGCCCAAGAAACTTTCTGCACGAGCGCCAGCCAAGGCATTGGCCTATACACATACAGCACAGCAATGAAGTAATAAAATGAACTAGGATCACACTAATCCAGCACGTTATTATTCTGAGTTGCCCCACTCAAGCGGTGGCCATATTGAGTGGGGCACGTGAGAATAATAACGTGCTGGATTAGTGTGATCCTAGTTCATGGTATTACTTCATTGCTGTGCTGTATGTGTATAGGCCAATGTAGTTGGATCTGTATTTGCGTCATAATTAATCGATTAAAACAAATTTCGATTAATCGAACACGAAAATGTTAATCATTACCAGTCCTACTCCAAAGTAATGCAGAGGTTACATGAGAGGTCTAAAAGAACCCCCAACATCTCCTTTAATCACTTGATGTCCAGTCATCGTAATTAAAAGCTTGTATGGTGCCGGGGAGTGTGCATCCCCACTCCTCCACAGTTGCTGGTTTTCCCAGGCTTTTAAAGTCCCCTGCCCCCATGTATATACAAACACACGTTGGGTGCGCCTACATGCGAGAACGACAATTGCGCCACACGTTACATATCACTGTGAATGTTGGAGTGAATGTAATACTTTTAGGGCCATCAATCACTGTTAACACTAAACTGATGAGCAAAAGTAGTAAAAACTTTTAAAGTATCACTTATGGGCAATTTTTGGTATGGTTGTTTTTTTACAACTTCACGAGCGCGCACAATTTTAAGGCTTGACGGGGAGCTCCAGGACTCCATCCCTCAGAATGGGAGAAGGGACTCCTCTGCCTCCACAGCAAGGCGCCCGGCACCAATAAAGACCTACACGCAGAGCTGCCCAGCGCTGATTACTGAAAAATAGCCTTGACAGGAAGTAGTAAAATAACCTATTACTTCTATTGTGCGATCATGTAGGTACTTGTCAGCCCCTTGTGATAAAGTAAAAAGTCCCCCTCTCTGCCCTCACTTACGCACACATATGAACGGAAAAAAGCACATAGGGTGTGCCTATATATGAAAATGACAATTACGCCACGCAAGTTAGGTTGTCACTGTGCATGCCGGATTGAAAGCAATAATTGTAGGGTCATCATTCATTCACTGTTAACTCTAAATTGAAGAGCTGTAAATGCTTTTGAAAGCATTACCCATGGACAGGTTTGGGTACTGAAATTTTTCACCGTTTCATGGGCACACACAATTTTAAGGCTTGACATGTTTGGTGTCTCCTGTATTTACTCAACGCACCCTCATCTTTTATATTATACCAAAAAAAAGCTTTACTAGTTCATTATTAGGCACCAATACCAACAGTTAAATAGCATTTCTGTATTCACAAAGACATATTTTCATCTTGGAGCACACACTACAAAGAATGTGACCTAGCAAAGTAAAACCTTATCTGAAAGAGTTGACCGCTAACCAAACTAGTAAATCCTTGAAAAAGAAAGAAATCTGTGTGGGCAGAACTTGGATATTGGTGTAGGCAGTGCTGTGTTATGTCTGTGCAGAGTTGAAGCATGGACAGGACTATGAATCTCTCCCACAAAAAGACACATACCATTTGTGGCATTCAGCACTCTGATCTTCTTTCTGAAGTGCAGCTTCAGCTTCTTCTTTTCCTGCAGAAAGAGCCAGATATCTCTCCATTAGAAACCGACACACTGTATATGGAAACATATTTCATCTATACAAGTGCTAATTTCTTCTAACAAAAGAATTACGGTATCTTATGAAAATAAACTACACATTATGCTATTTAATGACACAAATAGCTTTAGACTTAAAGAAACCTTAGCATGGAGCACATGTACTCCTGATTAAAGACATGTAGCTGTAGGGCAGGGGGCATGCTGGACTGCTGCTGATAGACCACTGCTTTGGTGTTTAAAGTGGCCCCTTTGCCTAAGATAAAAAATTGCAAGGAAAAGCAACCTGTTAAAGAAGCACAATAGGGATGTAGGGGTTAGCATGGGGAACCACAGCACCCAGCAGTGGACACACTATAGGGCACAAAATGTCCACTCGCTAGACAGATAAGTAAATGAGTCACATTAAATAAGTCACATTATCTGCAGCCAGCTGCAGGGTCAGACTTGCAGTGATGGACTACAATCTCACGTGTAGTTTACTCATTTGTATTGAGATTGTAGTCCATCACGGCAGTGAGCTTGGATTGGTGACTACTTTACAACACACACAAGGACCATGGGGAAAAAAAGTAGCCACCCTCCAGAAGGAAGCACAGTGTCCGCACCAATTCAGAGATGATTTGAGGATCTACAGCCGAGTGATACACAAATAAGAAACATTTTTGTTAATAGTTAAGCTACTGGAATGCATTTTTAAGAATTAACTCCTGAGATTAGTGTCACTTTAAGAACAGATTCAGATTGCTGCATGTACATTCAGGAATTATTTTCATTTGCCAATAAAAGCGGTCAATAAGCGGTATATTAGGTACAAAGGCTGAAGTGGTTAATAACACGAATACCCGAGAGGTATGGCTGAGCTACCTTAATAATAATAATAATAAGGGTGAGAATTATTCAATGGTGAACATTTACAATGGTACAGATGACAATTTGTGACCAGTTCATTTTAAGTGATAACTGTATTTAACGCAAGGTCTGTCCATTTTCTGTGTCCTACATACCAAAACATTTCAAAAATCTAATACAAAATATACGAAATATACTTACCTTTACCCAGGCTTCTGCTGTGGCACTAGGTGAGGGTGATAAAATGCTGCTACTGGTGAGATCCCAGGGAATGCCAAGTAGATCAAATCTTGTGAGAACACTCTTGCACTGTTTGAGCATCATATTGTGAGGCTACTCAGCATTCCCAGGATCTCGCCAAAGGACCATAGATGTCACCACTTGCAGTATAAAAGCTGGCGGAAACATAAGAATATTTAACTTTTTTTACCTATCATTTTTTAAAATGGAAGGTGAAAAAGCTATGTTTCATTTTAAACAGAATGGGGAAAATGCTAGAAGCTCTGTCAGGTGACTCAAGGTAAAGATTCATAAAACCATCTGAATTACAATATACAAATCTGCTAAACTTATAACCCACCAGGTCCTCACTATATTACACAAATTTAATGAATCAGGGATGACTCTTGGTCACAACAACTATACTCATCAATGGTTTCTTGCTACGCAATACTCTGGCCTCAGATATTCTCCAACTCAACAACCTACCAATCGTCAAATATAAACTCTCCCAAACAATCCACTTAATAAACATAGTTAGGGTGTGTATACCAGCCATTTAGGAACAGGCCACCTCTCCCTCCTTTGGTTTGTGAAGGTATAGGACATTAGACAGATGGAAGAATTGATAGCCTCCCTAAAAATAGCATAGAAAAATACTGCACAGGAAATGTTGTCACTTAACCCAATTCAAATTACCTTTCCATTTCAATCTCAAGCCACTGTAACTTTCTATAACTGTTCAAAAATTCAATGCAATATGGAAACCTGGAGGCGCTCTTTACACTGTTGAGGTATGGAAAGCCCCTAGAAATGTAATTTCCTGCTTGTGTGATTGGCTCACAGATTTTCCCAGAAGTCTGCACTAAGATACAAGTAAAAGTTTAGGCCACTCCTACATTAAAAAAGTTTCCTGTTTGGTGAGATACTCCCTCGGGGTTACCTACGGGATTGCAGACACTGCAACTTTGCGCATTAGAACACTGAATGTACACCAGTTGGTTATAATGAGTTTTCCATTCAGGAACCAGTTTGGAAAGGGCATGGTGAAGCAAGCAGCTTTTTTTTAGAGCAGAAACAAAAAGGTAGGAATCTGCAACAAAGTTTGTTACGACACTTGCTTCTCAATCACCTAGAGTGGATTGTTTTTTTGACTCAACAAAAGCTGAGTTGCACTAGGGCTGCAACAACTAATCGACATAATCGATTATAATCGATTATTGACACTTTAAAAAAAACACAGAAGAGAAATGGATCACCACTTCAAAAAATCATCCAAGTACCTGGAGTCTAGAAGCCAACATTCAATGAGTAAACTAAGGAATTGATTTGTCTCCTCACCCTCCCCCACGTTCTCCTATTTCCCCCTTATTGGTTCTTCTCCCTTACCCATGCCTCACATGATCGAACCTTCATCTTTAACCACCTCCACCAGCACAATCTGATTACACTGAGAACTGGCCCCCTTTCACTATTCCCATATCTCTGAACCCCCCCAGGCAAGACCCACCATCAGTTATTGGGAGCTAACCATGAGGCATGCTATATTGCTGGAGCAAAATATTACCACCAGCCAAGTCGCACGCTCTCTAATTACCCCGGTATCTCACAATTTCTTCCAAAGCTGTTGACCAACTTTTATCTGTTGAATGAACCATCTAATATATGTGTGTAAAGGGTTTGGCAGCTATTCTTGGCCGTGATGGTATTTATATTTTGCTTTATTAACTGGCATTGTGCTGGTTTACTTGCCTCATACTGCATTATTTTATCAATAAAATGTAATACTAGGCCTCATGCACAAGGCATTTGAAGCTGTAGTTGGGGATTATTTGGGCAGGAATCCCAGGTGTGCCCGTATAGATGCGGCCACTGTGCCCCATAAAAATGGCAAGCTGTCCGCATGTAACTGCGCTTAGAACGATTGCCTGCTGATCGGGATAGACGCTTTCCTGATTCTGAGGTAATCGAATCATGTACAATTACTAGATCCAGCTGCTTTTAGCCTGTCAACTTGAATGGGCACAGTGGCCGCATCTGTACGGACACAACTGGGATTTCTGCCACAAGAATCCCCAGTGGCGGCATCGATCGCTGTGTGCACGAGGCCAAAAAAGGTGTTACTCACCATCTAAGGCATACGATTTCTTCTCTGTTATATCATCAGTAAGCTCATTCATATCACTGCGGGATCGTGCTAGTCTCCACAGAAAGTCTTGATGTTCCCCATACTATCGGATAAAAAAAGACATACAACAATACTGTTAAAAGTTCCTAATTAAATGCTTAAACTCCATAAATGAATGCTTATAAAAACAGATGAGTAGCCAAGAGTTGCAGTTTGTCATGTTTTCACCCAAGAGTCACACAAAATTTACACATTTTTTCCACATAAGATTTAGAAAAATTTGTGAATCTAGGGCAAAAGTTGTATGCATCTTGGAGAAAAACATTGATAAATAGAGCTCAAGAGGACGGATCAATTTCATTTCTGCTGTATTTAAGTTTGTAGGATTATTAAAGGAACATAAAACCATATTGTTTAAGGTTCCTAGTGAAACTAATACTTATAACACATGAGAGATAATAAGAGTTGCAAAAAATAAAGGGAAGATTATAGATAGAGATAGATAGAAAGGATATCTTAGTGGACTATACTTTGGCTGGCTCAAAAAACCAACATGACAATGTTACAGTATATCATAAAGCTATAAATTACATTCAGAAGAAAAATCAATAAGAAATACCTAAGCTATGTACACAATATGGTATTTTACACTTATCTAATCAGGCTGTACAACCTATTGATGGATGCTTGCTTCTAATTCAGTCAAAACTTGGGAAGAAAAGCGCATTTGATAAATTATCTCACTACTTAGGAAGCCAAATGTAAGTTGATGTCAGGGCTCAATCCCCATCGTCCTTTTGATTAAATGTAGAATAAAATGGTCATAACTAGGGATGCACCGATCTATTGGCCGTCGAAACATATCGGCCGAAAATGGCACTTTTGGCTTAATGCCAAAAGTGCCATTTTCTGGGCGATATAGCGGTGCACCCATTCTCTCTCCCCTCCTCGCTGGGCACTGCTCTGTGTCCCAGCGGGGAGGAGAGAAACTGTCACAGGAAGCCAAGCACTGCGGGAGGAGAGCACTGTGAGCGGCCGGCGTCTCTCCTCCCCGCACCACTCAGCCTCCTGTCACAGATCAGAGGCGAGCGGTGTGGGCGGAGACAGCTTTCAGTGCTGTCACAGGAGGGTGAGCTCTCCTCCCACACCGCTCGCTCAGCCTCCTGTGACAGCCGTCAGGAAGGAGAGCGAGTACAAACATGAGTACAAACACTAAGCGATAACTGTACATGTAGTGTTTGTACATAATTATGAATGAATGGGAAGTGATCTACATTACCTCCTGTTCATTCATGAATGTGGTTATAATAAACATACTATGCTCTCATGTTATAATAGAATAAGAAATAAAGAATAAATATTAAAAAAAGTTTATATAAAAATACAAATTGAAAAAAAAAAAGTTAAAATAAAAAACATTTTCTGTTTCGGCCTGACTTTTTATTTTTATTTCGGTTTTGAAATTTTCATTTTGGTGCACCTCTAGTCATAACCCCATTCCATGATTATATTTATAATCTCTCTGAATACTGCTAAATGAAAAGCTTGCAGCCACACTCAAGGCTTTTCTTATAATGAGTGTAAATGGATCTATTTAGTAGGAAACTAAGAAAAGAGCATATCATCTTAATTGTTGGAAGAATATTAAGGAAGTTACAAAAAACGTCAACTACAACATAATCGTGATTGAACTGTATATTTGTTTTTGAAGGCCAAGCTTTACAGCTTTAGCATGATAAACAAATGTGAGAAAAAGCAACAATATGTACCAGTAATTTATTATTGCACAGCAACTGGAATCCTTCCCGCTTCTGCTCAGCATCACCACTATGCAACTGGTCAGCTCTCTGCAGCAAAAGTATTAACTCTCCATCTACAGGGTCAGTGGCCAGTATTGATGCTTCATCATCTGTTACAAGGTCCGCCGAGTCGCTCCGCATTGTTCTCACAGTTTCACAGCTCACTTCATCTTCCTCCTCGTCCTCACTCGCTCTGCTGCTTTCACGCTCATAATCAGATTCGGCATTTGCTGTGGTGTAACTATAAAAGCAGGAAAAAAAAAAACATGTTTGGACACTTCTAAAAACCTCTGGAGTCCATATAACAAGATGCAGGCCGCAGTGATTACTACAGCTTGGTGATGGAAACAAACAGGAGACATACATAAAAAGCTAGCATAAATCGAAAATTAAACATAAAACGCGAGCTCCTCGCCAAGTATGAGAACACTTAAACAAACAGTATCATACAACAGCAACTAATTGCATTATGGCATCAGGATCATATCTGGCACAGTGCTCTCAACCAAGAACACCATATACAACATTGTCCAATAATGTGTGCAGATATGCAATGTGATTTTGTATCATTTACAAGGTCTGTTTTCCTTTATAACTCTCTCATTTTTTGAACACAGCCATAAGATATTTATCTCTGCATTACAATGCCATTTCTACTCAACCTTTCTGCTTGCCGATTTCCTTTCAATTGTTTGCTGACAAGGAGGGAGGGAGAGGGAGAAGTATGCATTCAAAGTTTTTGCAATGAGAGTTGGGATGAAAGTTTATAGTGAAATTAGTAACTTCATTATATAGGGCAGAGTGGTTTTGTTAGGACAAGGATGTAAGGAGAAACTTCAGACCGCCACTAAATACAAAAAGGTATGACATTTGGCTGTTCGATTCCTATCACACAATGCCACACAGCACAGCCAACCAGGTGACACATGTAGTTCCTGCTTAATCAATTCATCTTACTGGTTCAGCAATTCAGTTTCCTATAAACAGGAAAATTACCACACAAAAGCAGGTAACACCGTTAGGAATCTTTACTTATAAATCCTTAGTCCAATAATACAGATGAGACCCACCATACAGCAGCACGCCAGAGGTCTACGAGTAAGCCTGCGTAGTGGAACATGTTGGAGGCGTGCATCTGTATAGTGGGGCTCATCTGTGTTATTGGAATGAAGATCTATCATTTAAGATGCTGAACAGTGATACATGTGTTGTTTCCCGAGTTGGAGCATGAGCAAGCTCTTTTATCTGCACCTGGGTGGCTCTCATGTCTCTGGAAATCTGAATGTGAAGTGCAGCACTGATAAATTTTCTTTTAAACTGTTTAATTCAGTTTCCTATGTCACACTTGTGTAAGCTCCGTGATGAATGTTATTGGGGCTTTCATAGGGTTAATGTTCTCCTCCTCGCATGACAGTGTTCAGGTCAGGCGAATGGTCATCCAGGCCATCTTAGAACAAAGTCACATGCTCCCCCATTAACTAGAAGGGACAGTTTTGTTTTGTTTTTTTCTGAGGGCTCCAACAAAGCGCCAGTTCTTACTACAAAAGAACCTGTCACTTCTCTGAATTGGCAAAGTGACGGCCTTTTCACACATTGTAGTTTTCATGCACTGAAACACATCATGAAAAGTCCCATACATTCCTTTGTGCCTGGCTCACATCAATGCGCTGCAGTTTAGTAGACTTTAAAAGGAAACTATTAAAGAACCTATTTACATGTATGATTTACCATGTGTGCACATAGGTGTGAACAGGCCCCGAGGTCAACATTGTCACTTGTTGCAACTTTCCTGTTCTGCATGTATGTTCTGGGACAGTGATTTGGATCGTACTGAAATCAGATGGTCACCACAAAACAACCAGGAGACCAGCATTGTTGGAGCCGATAAAATGAATATCTATGAAAAATCTTTGATATAAAAAGGTGTTCCTTGATATCCTGAACTGAATCAGCTTGTGGCTGCGTGATACACAAATGAGGACCATCAAAAGGTTTCTTGTGGCAGGGACACTGATGAATGAAGATTTGCAGACGGTCTTATCTCCTGTGACAAACCCGACCCCTGCTGGTATTTACTGCCCACACCTGTGTTAGCAATGCAGCATACATGCTGGGATGGGGGCAGGGACATATGATGGAACCTTCTTCCTGTGTTATCATATGCACAAACCTAGCTCACAAGCATGAACTACGGTAACCTTGTTGACCTCTTGGACAATACAAGTCTTTCTGGACTCTACAATCAAGAATGTGATTCGCTGAGACCTGCTGGAGAGGAGTGTTCTGAGCACAGGAAAAAACCATGGCTTGTGTGTGTGAGAGAGAATGTGGTTGCCAGCTGAAGGATCCTAATCTCAATTCCTATCCCTTCTCCATTTCCATTAATTGTAATTAGAATGGATGTATATCACCGTTTGTAAATAAACCCGCTTATTTAAGATTCAGTTGTCCATCAGTAATTTAAGGCACCCCAAAGAGCACATTCTACAATGCATTTCTCTTAAGACACGGTTATTTCCATGGCAAACACTTTGGCTTTTTGACTGCATGTTTGAATTTTTAAAAAATTTCTGGACTTATTTCTTTATAGTGAACGAGCGATGAAAAACGTCAAAATCACCTACAAAAAAAGCACACCTGAGAAAAGTGGATACTTTCGTGTATAGACAAGGGGGGGGGATATTAGAAACATGGCCCTTTTCAGTTTTCCACATATATTTTGTAAATTGGTGAATAAATTACAATACTTAAGTTAAGTCATTAGTCACTAGAGAACGTGTGTGATCAACAAGAAAATAAGCAGATTGAAAAATGTTTACCGTAATAAATGTTGTAACTTTCCAGAAAACAAAGCATTAGTATTGACAAGGAACATCCCCTTTGTTTGATGCGGGCATGACCCTTTCCTTGGGGAACTTTTAGGGGTGATGATGACAAATGATGAAATTAGCATTTACCCAGCCTAGGAGTCCAATGGTAACAAGGAGTCAAAACAGAAAACTCGGATACCCTTAACTTTTTCCTGCTAAACAAGTGTCTGACACCAGAACATTTAATTATTAAATAATAATTTAATTAATAATTATCAAATAAAAATGTATCTGTTTATATAGCACTCAATTTACAGAGCTTTGCATACTGCACATCCACATCAGTCCCTGCCCTCAAGGATCTTGCAATCTAAGGTGTCTATCCCACATGCATACATACAGGGCCAATTTGGACCAAAGACAATTAACCTTCCAGCATGTCTTTGGAGTCTGGGAGAAAACCCACGCTAGAACACCGAGAACATGCAAATTCTATGCAGATAGTGTTCTGGCCGAAGCTGGATTCAAATCAGTGTCGCAAGGCAGAACGGATAACCAATGAGCCACTTTGCACAGTTTATATGTTAAAACGCCAGTACCTGTATGAGGTATATTATTCCCTAATGACACAGTAGAGTTTCAGAGGCAGGTTGGTCTAGTCCAGGGGTAGGCAACCTTGGCTCTCCAGCTGTGCTGAAACCAGAAATCCCATCATGCTTCTGCCTCTGGGAGTCATGCCTGTGGCTTGCAATGCCTTATGGGATTTGTAGTTTCAGCACAGCTTGAGAGCCGAGGTAGCCTACCCCTGGTCTAGTCAGTCAGTCAGTATACTGGAAGAAATTAAAGGACAACTATGAGGCGAGTGCTTTTCCCTCACTTCATAGTTCTAGCCGACCTGTGACAATGAGACTGTCACAGGTCGGCTGAGTAGATCGGGAGGTGAGCGAACATGTACCGGCGTTCGCTCACCTCTCGATCCTGTCACGGCTCTCTGCCGTGACAGGGGAAGGGCTGGATTCCCCCCTCCGATAGCGCTGACTGGCGGAACGGACGGGGGAGGGGGCGGGTACAGCTGGCTCTGCCTCTAGATAGGCAGAGCCAGCTGTCACTCACGCAGCTGGGCGGATCTCGACATCGATGTCGGGATCCGCTCTGGCGTCTCAGTATACCGCGAGCTGTAGCTCGCGGTATACTGAGCTTAGGGTAATGGGAGGACGCTAGTTTGTGTCCTCCCGTTACCCTAAGGGGAAAAGCCCTGACCACATAGTTCTCCTTTAATAATATATACTAGTTTTCTGGGTCTTTTTTCTGACCGACATCCTTTATTTTTAGCTTGCATTATGGTCTCCGAGTTGTTCAAGAAAAACATATTTTGTCTGGGTATTAAAGTGCCAACAACTTGCAACTTTGAAGACCATCTGATCCCTCTTTTAAAACTTCTGACTTTCCAGCAATTGTAGAAACTCACCAATTCTTTTTATGTCCTTACAAGATGCTACAGATTAAAAAACAAAATGCCTCCACAATGGTTTTAATACTGTAAAAACTGAAAGGCACATTTTACATTACATTTCCGCTTTACCCTTTATTATGAAATATGAAATACTGACTTCCAATGCAAGATGATTTTCATGATAGATCTCTACTAGGCACATGCTGTACTGATCAGTATTTTGTCCAAAAGTCTGAAAGCCACCAGGAAAGAGGCACAGCATTCTTTATGCTTGCTCACACTCTTTGTCTCCAAGTTTATTGTCTGAATAGTCCAGTACGTGCCAGGCAATG